AGGGAAAGGAGGAAAGGTTCACGGCACGACGGCACGTAAACGTGCGGACGGCGATCCGCGAGATGTTTGTACTTGCGTATTCCAGCCGCGCTGCGTGCGTAGGTGACCGCGAGTGCGACAGAGAGGGGAGACGAGCGTTGACGGACGAGCGAGGGAGAGGAGAACAGAAGAGAATAATACGCGTACGCGAGCCTGCGCGCTGCGCGGCATACTGAGGCGACCGGCACTGTCAAGCCGACTCGTATGCGCCGCTCTACGCCGCGGCTTCTCCCTACCTCTTCTCTCGCTCGCACCGTTTCGCCCCGGCCACTGCCCAACCGACTGACTCTCTCTTTCTCTGTCCTTCTCTCTCTCTCTCTCTTACTATCTTTCTCGCTGTCTCTCTGTCTTTCGCCGCCGTCTTCTCCGCGTTTCCACTCCCACCTATGCACACGCTCGGATTTGCATCGCCGCTGTCGTACGACTTTCGCGCGACGTACACCCGTTACAATTGCATTCCTGGAAGATGCTATCCGACCTTGCATTTTTATGCGCGAGTTCCTGGCGTTGAAATGCACGATGCCACGGATGAATCAACGACCAACGATTCCTGCGGCTCGACCTGCGAAAATAACACTGGTCGCGACGATCGGCGACGTTATTAGGGCCGACGCGACGACGGTGTATCCGCGATGCGGTTAACCTAGTCTCACCTGTGATGATTCCATTTTCTCCGGATTCCGCGAACTCGCACGGTTTTTGCGCGACTTTTGAGCGACCGTTAATGCGTTCGTCGGTTGCGTTTGTTTGCAACTAGGACGCCGTTTTGCGTCGCAGGAAATTGGTGGAATTGGTTTTCAAACGATTTTTGGAAAATTGAAGTTTTTGAAGAAGTTTTTCTAATGTTTGTTATTTGTTTCGTGTTTTATCGTGTTACGCAATAGTTTAGTCATTTTCATTTTATATTTATAATTACTGGAGCTAGTTGAAAAGAAATCGATGTGACTATTTGTATCTCGTAACATATTCATTAAATGTATGCCAACTTCTTAACTTTCATATTTAAATTATTAGACGTTACGCAAAATTCTTATATAAATTTGATATTGACTCTTTGCACTCGGAAGTTTTCCACTAGAAGTATTTTAACATTTTCTAATGAGATCAAGACATTTTGTGAAACTAACTCGAAGAGAAATCACACGTACATTGAGGAACAAAGCTATTTTATTTTAATATTTCTCAAATTTTATAGTTTCACTGTATCAAATCAAATGGTGAGTGAGAGTCACCTCTCGAGTGCAAAGGGTTAATTTCTTTAACGTAAAATTGTTCTTTTATTTTGACTCCCCGCCTTAATTGGCTATAGACTTACGGAAACTATACCCGGCACCGAGCTATAGTTCTTGCATCAGAACCGCCGGCTGTAAACTAGTTAATGAACAATATATTCGATGTAAATAGAGTGTGAACTGGAAGCAGCCGATTTAGAATCGAGCAACCGTTCCAGACCTCGAGCATTTGGTACCGGAGTATTTACATTACGATGACTGCAGGTGATGCAAGAGCGGTTTCGTGACGTCAGTGCCTGATGTATGGTTTGGAGGATAATAAAAGGCTGACACGGCGAATTTATATTGTCTTTCGCGGACCAGAGGAAGACGCGCGCGGAGAAAAGACGAGCGAAAAGCGCCATGTTGTGTGCGTAACACGTCGGGCATTTTACAAGCCACTAAAACTGTCGTCACCGGTAAATCTGTTTATGGATCGACCATTTGAACTGGGAACGATGCGATCAGACATTGTTTAAGTTTCAAGCCGTAACAGGAAATGTCTATCGAATTTGTAATAAGGAACTCCTTCTAACAGTCACTTATAAGGATTACTCATTTTGAGTTACGAGTTCTCAAATCGTTTCTTTTCAAGCAAATGAAGTTGATCAATTTTGATGAATGTACAGGGTTTGTATAAATGTATAAGACTTCAATTCACCGAAACGCTATTTTCCTCGATCTAGATTGTCCATAATCTTGATACAATTGGAACTCAATAATTCGGACTTCGAGATACATAGTAACTTAAAATGTATGACTGAAGTTTACAAATGTACTTTAAGACATTTTTTCTGAAGTTTTTATTTATTTTTACTGCTGGTTGTCAAATTAAATAGGATAATCGAGATTCTACTGTATCTATAAATGATACTCTGCACTAGTAAATCTAACATGTATAACTTAATAAATGAAAAAGAGGAAATTTTGCATTTTTAACAAGTGAAATTGGAGCAGTTTCGATATTTATATATAGAATCATAAATGTTTTAGTTTACTGTTAGAAGCATGGAACTCAAAAAGCGATTGCATATTTTATCATCAGATTTTATTTCCTCTAACTAAATTGTCCGATGATTATACATCGATATAGATGGAGTTCCTACGTAAGATACTCTAAATATCACTTTAGATAAATATTTGCACGGATTAAAGAGGCGTGACGTATGACTGTGTAATTAGGGAAGTGCAATGTTTGCCTGCACGTTTTACACACAATAAAGAGGATATGCGATGGTACGCCCATAGAATGTCAATAATTCGTAAGGTTAACGTGAGCAAAATATGTATGGATGCAATTAATATCAGGGCCATTAGTCGTTTAATGTGTCACGTATAATCTCGTTCATCTTTCTCCCCATGTATGCGTCTAAAGGAATTTCCGTTCCCGTTTAACTGTAATTATTTAAACGATCATATTACAAAACAGCGAACAAGTCCCAATACGGATGCATCAAATAAATTTTCATAGGAATCTGTGTTACGCATTCATAAACGAATGTGGACATGAAAACATAATTCTATTTTTAAGCCATTAGTGATCTATAATACAAAATATATATATATCTAGTTTCTGTGAAAAAAAAATTTTATTTTATTCATAAAAAATAGTCAATTTCTCCTCGAGTATCTCGAGCATCACAAATTCGGTTTAAATTCCATCAAAATGTTATTCGAGAACTATAATAATCGAATTTACAGACTAGTCGTTCTCATAGAAAATTCGCAAAAAAGTTATTTAACATAAGAAAATGAAATTTATCGAAGCAATGTACACGAAAACGTGCAGTAACAACGCGACTCTGTTGAAATTATAAAATCCAGTTGAAACACAGTCTATAGGGAAGTTCATTAAAATTGTAATGAATTTCTTGCGTAAACGCTTTCAATAACGACACAGTACCAAACCCTTTAATTAGCGATTGCGGATTTGCAGAAAGAATTTAATTAAATCTGCTTCACGGATATTTACATGAGCCGATATTATCATCACTCGATACTCGTCCGGTTGACTAATTAATATATTCCTACAAGCGAGTCGGTGTTCCGCGGTTCATAGAGATTAACCTTCGTGTATTCACGACAAGTTAACTAATAATAATTCATTCATTGGCATGACGAAGGCGTGGTGGAACTCGGTGCCGAACCTACTAACATTATGGTTTCCGTGGCAACAACGATGCTGCGGTGTAATAAACCTACCGCCGTATAAGGACATTAAATGAAGCATGTTATTTCATGACCAATCGATTGCACACTCTATACAAACGTACTTTCGACGCCTGTGAAGTGACGTTTCCGTCCAGGTTGAACGAACCTTTGGCGTCCAATTGCGTGTTAATGAATAGCCCATTAATTGATAAAAATTTCTTATCTGTACATTAACCCTTTAACTGTTTTTCTCGAGTATACTTAAAAAAGTTACTGTTTTAGTTATTTCTATCACTACCGTACTTTTACTTTGTAACCTAATGTTCAAAAAGATGTCGCAACATAATTATCGCAAAAATACTGATGTATCTACAATTAGATGAAACTCCTGTTTTGCCCATCCCTTCAATCTTTATTAAATTGACCCCACCCTTTGAGTTTCACAAGCAACGTGCTACTCAAAATAATTAAGGGATCGATTTACTGGACAATTAAGAGGAACACATTAAATATTTAACTAAATCAACTAACGAATATTTAATAAATAATCAACTGATTCCCTTAAGAATTTCTTAAAATCAACCTTTTATCATTTCCTTATAATTTCCGTCAATGTTAACGGATATCTGCCACGATATACATTTTTCATTTTAAATTCTTCCTTTCAGTGAATTTTTCTTTGTTCAATCTGAATGCTAATTAATCGTAATGGAAGGTGAGAAAAGGGTAAAGTGGAAATTGTGCAGAACAGGCGTTAATAATTGTAATGTGCAACGAGATACGCCCGCAAGATAATTGATTCCGGTCAAGTCCGGAATCCATCCTAAGTTTCTCCTTCTCGTGAGACCACAGAAGTTTCGACGAGCTCGCACGCCTCCGCGTTTATTTTACATTCACTTGGTTCACGATTTCGAAAAAAGAGTCTGACAACTTTTGTGTTTCCAACAGCTATTCAAACATGCCTAGAAATGTAGGTCTAGCTTCCTATCTTCTCGTGCCTTCAAATCACTTTAGAAACCTCGACAAAAGATCACGATTCGTCATGATAATACGTTGCCGTACAGCGACGAGAATATTCAGGCTGCTGCGCTGTTCAACAGTGAACAAACAGTCGTATCGATGTTTTACATTTCCGTGATCGGAAAGTTTAACACTAGATCTACCGAGGATTTATACTGACTTTTTAAAATTTCTGTATAAAACCTGTTGGACGAATGGTAATATGCTTATGAACACACATAACACACGCAAATCGTGCACACGCCAATTC